AGAAATAACTAAATGTTCACAGGTCTATGTTATTCTGATTCATAGAGTCGTATGCACTCGTCGCTTGATAGCTGTAACCTGACCTACCATCAATGCATATTGCACCAATCCAACTCTGGTAGGATCAATCTCACTCAACTGCCAGAAAGTACATATCGATCTGCCTCGACCGAAAAACCATCTGGTCCAGTCTCGCCAAGCACGCCCACTCGTTAATCCTGCGACCTCCGTCAATTGCTGAACGAGATCATCCACCTGCTTGCTTCGGTGCGTCTGCTCCATATTGTACATGCGTGAGGAAAAGGGGCTGTGGTCTACGATTTCGATTGTACCGACAACTCTCTGGCATCGTGCCATTCACTCCCAGCCGACCCGAGCATGAATTGCGCTTCTCCGTCTGAATTCAAGGCCTCTTAAGTCGCAAGCACTTGCCCCGCATGACTCGCCCATCAAGGGTACATCCTGGTGCTCACTATCCCAGCGCACACCTCTCCGGCACCCGGCACCGCAATACAGTGCGCAATGTGATAGCAAATTATAATGACATAACCATTGTGAAAGTGGTAAAGTGGTTTCTGTTTGTGTAGATTTGATACAAATATCGTTGAAATTGATTGTAGTATATAGGTGATAGGGGAAAAGCAAAAGGTTTGTTCCTCGGGAGTGTCCATATACCAATTGACTAGCATAAAAAAGGTTCTATATACATATGCGATGAATGGGAATGATTTATACTTGATGTTGTTTGTGATTGTGACAATGATGGGGTGAATGCGATGTGAAGTAAGATGGCGATTTATCGTCTCTCCCCACCGATGGAGTCGTATCTGCACATGAAAGATAAGAAAGCAATCAGCATGCGTTACTATGTCTATCAGAGCAGAGGTCGTATACGAATGCGAAGTTCCACTTACGTCGGAGGGATCTCGCTTCCATACTGAACTTCATCCTCCTCAATCGGTCGTCCGTCTTGGTGAACAGTCACGTTGCCGCTGGTTGAGGTATCAGTCGGGCTCATGGGAGCCGTACCCGATCCCGATGCACCGCCATAACCACCCTGATTCTGATTCTGGACCCTGAATCGCTGCTGCTCTTGGTAGGCTTCCCTCTGCTTCGCAGACATGGCTCCAGCACCAGCTCCAGCAGCGGCAGCGGATCCACCAGCTCCAGCAGCAGCACCCTCAACAGGTGCGAAGCCGGTAGGATGGGCGGTAGGCATCGGCATGGTAGCAAGGTTGTTCATGTCGTATCCGCCTGCACCTCGGCCGGCGAATCCGGCAGAATTGGCAGTTGAAGGTCCTCGAGAGAGATCTTGAGCCCCGTATCCACCGTCAGAGGTTGTGACGGCTGATCGAGGATATTGCGCCATCTGAGGTGAGGCTGCCGTGGATGCGATGCCTGGAGTGTAGTATGGTTCGACGGTGGGGTTGTTGCCTTCACCACCAAGATCGATAGGAGCTTGGTTCTCAGGTCGTCCGGGATCAAACTGCAGCCATCGTTAGCACATTAGCCATCTGGATTTGGGCAAGGCTGGAGTGCACTCACCATCATGTCATCGAAGTCGTCCCTGTTGGATTTTCTCCTCCTGAGCAAGAACCACAGCAGGATACCAATTAAAGCCAGACCTGCGACACCGCCAACAACGCCACCAACGATCGCGCCGACATCTAGCAGAGGTGATTGAGGTCAGCAGCCATTGATGAAAGATACCCGATTGAAAGTTTCAAGTGCTCACTGGTGCCGCCGCCGCTGTTGGACGATCCACTAGATCCGCTAGTAATGGTAGCCGTAGGTGTTACGACAGTCGAGCCGTTCGCATCGGTGACGGTGACATAGCTATCAAGTGATCGTCAGAGAGATATCGACGCGGTAGCAACGGAGAACGACTTACATGACGCTGTTTGAACCGGAAACTGATGCTGATCCACTGGGTATCGATGTGGTTGCTGAGGTTGAACCACTGGGGACAACGGTAACGCTCACCCCGTTGGAAACGCTGACGCTACCGGTAGGTGAAACACTGCCCGAGGCCGATGCGCTGGGACCACTAGTGGGACTTGCTGACTGACCGTTGGAGCTGGTCGCGCCGTTTGAAGGTTCGGCTGATGATGGTCCAACAGAGCTGGAGGGTTCAGCGCTTGATGCCGGGTTTGACGTGGGTTCCGCTGAACTTGTAGATGAGGGAGGGGCGGCCGAGGTGGAAGATTCGGTTGTTGAGACGGCGGGGGGCGACGTGGTCGCGACTTGAGATGATTCGGCGGCGGAAGCTGATACAGATGGAGAAGGGACAGCGTCAGAAGATTGTACGGCACTGCTGCTACCTCCGACGTCGGCCATGTTGAATGATTGACTGTTTGTTGGTAGGATGTGACGAGTGGCTCAGAAGGAGTGACGATGTGTATGTATCAATGATGACAAAAGCTAGTTCTGGTGTCTGTGGAAGCTACACAGAAGATAGGAAAGACAGCAATTGGGATGGGAATGACTGATGAACGAAACGAAGGTTGTCAAGGCAGAGAGAAAGAGTCGGTTGAACGAAGCGCGTGAATTGAAGTGAAGGGATTTGCCGCTGCGGCGTTTTGTGCGTAAGTCGAGACGTGGTTGATAGGCAACTAAGGAAGGGGGGTGTGATGTCAAAGGATGAGAATGAGGATACGAGGATGATCTGTGCGGTCGTTTGGGAGACTGGTAGTGGACGTGAACTGGGAAAGGGAAAGAGGAAGGATGCACACCGCCAGGAAGAGAGTGCAAATCCGCACAAGATCGCTTTGATCCAACCAAGCAATGCAAATTTCGACCGAGGGCCAAATTCAGCTAGCTCAAAGCCGTACGTATAATGTACCTGACTGTACGATAAGCCGAGGAAATACACAAAAGAAAGAAAGAATGGAAGAAAAGCCTCGTATGCCGGCCGCGTGCTTGTGCTTGTGTGCTTGTGTGCTTGCGTGCTAAAGAAAAAAGCTGTGCGGAAGATAAAAAAATCCCTTCGCGAGGTACACCATGAAAATGCGAGAACTACGGATTTCCGATGTTCGGGGTTGATCTTTGTGTGCAAGCAGATAGATAGATACAAGTGTAGCTCAGAGAGAGGACCAGGATCAAAAGCAGGGAACGATCGATGACACTTGGAGACTAAGCTAGAAGATTGGTAGATGACGATCCGACCTTTCCAGACCAGCAGGTTAGTTACTCACACATTCTGATTGCTAATCTCCTGATGTGACTCCTGTTCTATACGTGTGGATGATGCGAGTCTAGGGGGATCGTCGGTTCCGATGATGAAAGGACTGGACAGGTGACGATGCGCAATCGATGCGATTCGATTGATGGCCAGAAGGTAGGTAGGTAGGTAAGGTGGAAATGACGAGTTCGAAAGCTGCGGATGAGAGGGTTTTCTAAAATACTTGGTCGAAAGGGAAAAGGTGGGTGGGTTTGGGGAAACGAAGGGATATAGAGGGATTATAGTTCAAGTTCAAGTAACTTGTAGGACTTGCGCGTGCGAGTGTTCGTTGTCAGAAGTCCAAAAAGAGGGGTGGGGTAATTACTATATGTGACTGTGGTTTTTGATCTGGATACAAGGTAGAATTCGAAGATTGACCGACCAACTAGATGATGATGTTATGATGGATGCAATTGAAATGTGATCAATGGAGGGATCTTCACTACTGAGTGGATATCCCGCTGAAAGGATCTGATCTGTGGTGTGCGTATGATGAAGCCCCTTCTTTGCCTCTTGCCACGCTTCTTCCCCTTTACAGTAAGTTGTACTGAAGTCAGCGCAGAGAGAGCGCGGATGATCGTCAAATCCGTCGTTACCCTTGTTCTGTAGTGAGAATCGTCCGAGAATTAACGTACATAACACACGCTGCTACTCCACACAATCCCAAGGATTTGGGGCCGGCTCGCGTCTCAGCTGCCCATTACCGGAGGTAACTTATCGATACAGTAATGCAACCCGTAAGAGATAGATACTCCGACAGAGTCTAAAAAATAATTGCACGGACAAAAAGCGGTGCTACCATTTCTGACCCTCCGAGCGGTGCATTCACTACCTTACCAGACTTACAAGCGAAGAGAGCATACAGCCGTTTACTGACCAGTATGTTACGCTTCAACTTGAAATGACTTTGCTATACAAGCACATGGACTTGCTCTGCTGTTCCTCTCATCGGTGACACTAGGCTGACAGATGACGACATCCGTTACACGCTCCGGGGCCTTCCATTGAGAAATAGGGGGATATCTATTACCTCTTGACCAGTATTCTGGATGCATGGTACGCACCCATCAGCCTTTCCTGTTGCACACAGACGCGTCCGTCCCAATCTGACACGCTCACGCTCACGCTCACATGTACGTTTCTGAAGCGCCATGTGAGATGACATCACAGATGTGGTCAAAGCGCTGGATTTCTGAGATTCCGTCCTCCGAAAACTCGACGAACGGGGGGGATCTCCGGAAGAGCTCTCTCCAACACGTCCACCTACATGTGCGTGCCTCATACGGAGTCTGGCCACATGGGACGCAAGCAGCAATGACCCGAGGAACGCTACTGCGAAGTGTGTGCGGCCAGACCCAAAATCCCGACTTGCGCAGATCGAAGCGAACACGAGGTAACCCCCCAACTCTCAAGTCTGGACCGGCGGTAGGCACCGCCCTGCCCTGGAACCCGTACTATTCTTCGCAAAAAGAGGTTTCTACGCTCCGGCGCGACCTCGTCATCCGGGCAGCAACGCCAGAAAGGGGCCACCTCCCAAACGAAAGAGAAGCTCCTTCTTACGAGAGTGGCACAAGACACAATGAAATTAAGATTTCTGCGTATCGCGACGACCTCGTGGCGGCGTTGGACACGAAAAAGACTTGTGCATGTGAAAGGCTGGACAGTGGTGCCCAACCAGTGACTGAGGTTCTCGATCAGGCGAGTTGCGGTTTCTGTACCTCTTGCTCAACTGAAGTAATCCCATGCTCATATATTTCTTGTAAAAGAGCAATATTTCATCTACGGCCATAGAAGCGAGAAAACGCCGGACCCCGTTCGCTCTCCGCAGCTCCAAGCTCGCTATCGCCCGGTTAGTACCATCGTGGGGGACCAGGTGGGAATCCCGGGTGCTGTAGTTTTTTGGGTTTTTTGACTCGATGCAAACCATCACCCACGGCATGTGGCTGCTCACCTTGCTTGCTGTCCGTGAACGTTTCGTCAATGATGGAAGGTCGACTGCATGGGCCAGGGTCCTGGTTGACCTGACCATGACGCTTTGGGCTCCTCGTAATTACGCTTTTCTTCACGATCAAAGATCAGCGCCATGCCATAGCGCCATGCCATCGTGGCGTTCGCCAACCGCCAACACGGGATGCGGCTCTCACGACCATCACCAGATCCCTATTGCCGAAAAAATCTGGCTGAACCTTATCGAGCCTTCGAGCGATCGCTGCATTATTATCGGCAAAAACGAACGCTTCGACCTCCAATTAGGATTAGCGTGTCTGCGAGCTCGAACTCGAGCCAGGCCATGCTCACAGCTGAATCTCACCAGCGCCTCGAGGTTCATTCAACGCGTTCGAAGGACCTCCATCATCGTAATTGAAGTGTGTTGATTTCCACAGGTTCATCCCACTAGCGCTGTTCCTAAAGGATGCTCCCTCCCCCTCTGAACCGGGACGGAAGGGGCCGGCGAGACGACCGCAACGCTCGGGCACCGCGACGCACGAAATGCGGCAGTTGGTCAACGGACAGGCTCGATGCAGTGACATTGACATGCATGGCTGTGTCCAACGATCGTGATCGCATCTTGTGACGATTGCGCTTCTGCTTTATTCCGCTTCGAGTCTAACAATATGTGGTACTGCCTCCGCTCTAGCTACCACGACCTTGCCAATTATAACTTATTGAACAGCGTTATACGGATAGCTCGTGCCTCAAATAGCCTACACAAAGACATCTCCTGACCTGTCGTGCCCTTACCTTTTGCTCCTTGTCCCCTCGTCCTACTTAATTAAAAGATCGTCGCTCGTCCTTTCTGGCAAGGGCGGACAAGCTAATAAGGCCGCAAAACGCTTTGACGAAATCCCCCACTTTTGCCATCACGGAGGGCAAGGGTGACACCATTGAATATACGCTAGCGAGTGGGGGAGGAGTAAGGGTGACGCGACTGGTCTTTGTCCGCCGTGATGCGATCACATCCCATTTCAGCGCTCTTTTTGCAACGCCAAAGTCAACCACCTTCACCACCATCATCATCATCGTCTGAATCACGTAATTACGAGTATCCAGGTTGCATCTTAAAGACAAAGGAGGCGAGGATATCGCTAGACCTCCCGTCCCCAAGTTCTCGACCGCCAGGTTCAAGTCCTAATAGTAAAAGGTACAAAAACCGACAACGCCAAGTAGGTACATTCCTCAAAACCTCCTGACGGCCCGGTAGCTAAGGGGGGCTTTCACCGATCAGAGCGGTCTGTGTGGCCAGGACAAGACATTTTGTAGCTTCTGGCCGATCCAACACCACCACGACCATCACCGCTCTCACCACCACATAATTGTCCTGATTAGAATCGCCCTTAGACAATTATAGAATAGGTCCATCCTTCCCCCCGCGCTCCCTGCTCCCTGCCTGCTTGTGCGATCCAGCGAGCAACCCTTCCTTTGACGGGGCCGATCAATGCCCTAATGAACCATTTTCATGTAACCTTAGGCGTCGGGTGTCCTCGCTCCCTCCCCTTTCATGCCTTATTCATCGAATTGTCTCTGACTGATGATGTTTGTTTGATAGGAACGAATAGCTCCGAAGGGTATATACAAAATGGCAAATACCGTCAATAACCAATAAGCCGCACTGTGTACTGACGCAGTAGCGGTCCTTGCACACACCCCAGCCCACGGCCTATACATGTAGAGCCGAGCGACATAACATTATCCTGTCGGATTTCAATTAAAGACCATTCTCTCAAAGGACAATCTTCCCGCCTGCCCATATCTTTCCCCAACACCTAAATCAATACTCGGACACCTCAACGCTTTTCAAGCACATATCTCACGAGAACCCTTCTCATCTGCACTTACGGTTCGAAATCGACCGTCATGAACTTTGATCCCTTCAATGAGCTAGATGGGGGATCGGCGTTAAGGTTTGATGAAGGTCAAGTGAGTGGCTCTTGAATCTGTGTGGCGAATTGCTGTTTCCTGTCGCCTTGAGGGGTGGTTGCTAGGCTGACCTACGACCATGCTTTGTCGCTTCCGCGCAGTTCTTTTCCTCGCTGGTAAGCATATGCATGCACACGTTGATTGTCATACACGGGCTGATGCATGCTTTGCACATGTCGCTCTTGCTGCTTACAGCAAGACGACTATTGCCTACCTGTACGTGCTGCGCGCATCGTCACAACATGAACCATGATTTGCGCTGATACTGAGGTTGGGCGTAACACAAACTCACGAAAGGTCCCATCTCATTCGCCTGAAACTGAGGTGAGCCATCTCATCATGTCTGATCTCATGTGTAACTCGGTGGCAGGTGCCTGCAAAAGCTGGTCAAACGTAAACGGGCAAAGGCTGTCAAAGTCGGCAGGGCGCAACGATCCTGTTCGATTAGCTTGGAACGACGGTGATCCTCTGTTTCGTAGACTATGATCACAGTATTATCATGGCCATCCACAGTCAATGTGTCTTCAAGTTTTATTCTTTGCGGGATTTCCACTGACCGTTGAGCTGCCATCAGCGCCTCGACTATATTCACGAGGTATACAAGTATCACGCAGGTAACATACCAGGTCAGTGCGTCCTTGTTTGACACACTGGCACTAACAGCTGTGTGGCTCCCTATCTCTTCCCATCTGTTCTAGATCTTCTCAGATTTTCATTCACCTTTTGTCTATCTTGATCGTTCACCTGGACTTCCATGTCCTTTCCCCCTCGGACTGCATATTCTTGTCCCGGATTTGCATAGTGCGGTATCGGTCGAAATTGCTTTCTCACACGTGATTGTCACCTTCCTCACAGACGAAGTAGCGACTTTGCTCAACGATGGGAAGACAAGGCGGATACTAGATGTCGGTTGCGGGACTGGGAAATGGTCAGTACTCTTATCCGTTTGAGTTTCTTTGGCTCGATTACGAACAAAGTTTGTTTGGCTGACCTGGTGAACTCTGACCCACAGGGCTTTGGAGGTGGCGGAAGCGTTTCCGAATGCCATGGTAAGCCGTGTGTCAAGTTGTACTCTCGGTACGACACTGAAAGCACGCTGGGTCACAGGTGACTGGAGTCGACCTTTGCCATCCACCTATACCGAATTTTCCTGAAAATTTTCAGTGAGTCCCCCGATAGCCTGCCACATGAAAAGCTCCCCACCGCCGCTTCCGTTATTTGCCATACTGACATGCTCAATGCTGCTCGGTCCAGTTTCGAGATCCATGATGTGACTAAAGGACAAGGGTACGCCGACGAGGCATTTGATGTGGTCCATGTCCGCGATATACACGCCGGAGTGAGTTGAAGCAACACAGTCACGAATGGTCTGATCAGTGTATTCTCGCTGATCTGTGTGCCTTGGCCACCCAGATGCCAGATTATCACAGCATGCTAGTAGAATGCGTTCGCGTACTACGGCCTGGCGGCTTTCTGTTAGTAAAAGAGATAGAGTGGATGCCACGGCTATCTGATCCGGATGGCGACGCGGAAGAGCGCTTCCCAGGGATCTGCGCGTGAGTGAATGTCGTCCGTCTACTCTCCTCATCAGCATCAGAGTTGTTCACTGATCATCGCATACTTTCGTCTACGGATCTTGCAGCATTCTGTGAGTGACAGCCCGCAGGAGGTATGATGAGCCTCATTCGTTGTGCTGATTATCCTGCTCGTAGTCGATCTTTCACGGATGCGTTAATCGAACGGAATCTCGATCCATGGGTGGGCGTCAATCTCGAGTCGTATGTTGGCAATGTCGCCGGTTTGAGTGAGATGGATTACTCGAGGCATCTCGTGCCGATGACTCCGTGGTCTGAAGGTGAGCAGGTTTCTCCCAAGCTTCTCCTCGCTGCATGTTCTCTTGTATCGGGTCATCCTTGCGCCGAACGGTATGCTGAACTGTCATCGCTCACGAAACATCGACCCAGACCCTGTACTACACTACACCGGCCGGATGACACAGATGGCGATGGCGATACTAGGCGGCACGATGCGGATCATGCTTATGGATCATGGCGAGCCGAATCCGGACGGGCGGTATGAGGCGGGCATCAGAGAGCTGAAAGACTTGACCGGTGAACCTGTCTGGTTCTTTGGGAGTGTCGTTGCGCGCAAAGAGGGCGAGCTAGGAGAGGGAGAACTTGGAGACCCAGAAGATTGGGAGGACGGGAACGCCCATCAGGCACAGGAAGAAGAGGGGGACGACTGACGTGGCCGATCGACATTCCCACCGAGATATCAGTTTAGCATAGTCGGGGACCATGTTGTACTTGGAAACAGAAGGAAGTATTAGCCTTCATCATGAAGAGACTCACTATATGACGCCCCATTGCGCTAGGGGAACTGGCAGTGATATTTCTGTTGACTGAGCTTTCAACGGACGAACTCGATACAGGTTCGCGATGAAACTCGTGAGTACTGCTGCAGACTGTGAGTATTGGATGTTGTAAGTGCTTAATCGCTGATTCATGGTTCCTGGTCCAGTAACGGCTACTATAATTGACATCATACTAAGACAACCGTGTTTGAAGACGCCTTCTTCCCTCTCTGTGTTATTATTACAAAGCAAGCTTCGACTTCTATGGTATTGGGTATACTGTCTAGGTGTGTGTGTGTGAGAGAGAGGCTACCTAGAGAGAGAGAGAGAGTCATGCTGATTCCCGCTTTTTGACCGCGCTTGGTCAATGCGCTTCGCTTTGGCAGTCAAAGAAAGCACTGGGCAGCAATCACAGTGCGCGTCAAAAAGCCCTTCCTGGCCATCGCAGTGGTGTGATTCTCACCAAATCGACTGGTAGGGTCATTGATGGGGTGAGTTACGGTTAGATTGTGCCGTAACATCAGCGCTCATAATACGGACCCCGTTCTATCCCGATTCTCAAGGGCGGCAAGGCCCTCGGCTCACCCCCTCTACTCGATGGCGGCGGTCCAACCTCGGTACCGTGC